CCCCCCTGGGAAGTTTTCTCGGGGAGCGTGCGAGTGAGGACAAAGCATGCTGAAAAGACCCATGTTGGTACAGTGAGGACAGTACGTCGTCGATCTAACGGCCAGGATAGCCCGTTAAGTGGGACCCGAGTCGTTACATAAATCCTCTCTTTTTAATTCCCAGCCACTCACGTTGTATTAGTCCAAAACCCAAATCCCGCGAATTTTGATTTCCATCCAATTCCAATTCAATCTTTTAAGCCCAATTGAATTCTATTCTTTGTCAATTTGTTAAGGGCTCAACTAACAGAGTATTACTCTCCTATGCCTCACTTCTTCCAAATAATACAATTTACTCCTTGAAACAAATTTATTTGTGCACCTCATGTTCTCTTTTAATTTAGTTCAAGTCCTTCAATTTTCAAAGTGCGTAATTTGATCCCAAATCTTTTAGCGTTTATTCTATTTCGTCCTTCTTCCTTTCAATTGTTTCTGAACTGGTCGAAAACTGAAACAATATAAAATTAACCCAAATTAAGTATAATTCAATAATTTGACGATATAAAGCTTAGTAATATGACCTAAATAAGTGCGCATTTTCTCAATAAATAAATAAGAACAAGACGGAAAAAAAAAGTGTTGAGTCGATGTAGAGTTATAATTTGTTTTGCCATCTAGAATTAAGTTGATGATAAAATGGTATAGAGCTTATAGAACTCCAAGTATTAATATGGTACAGAGCTTATTAAACTCCAATGAACAATTTGATCCGATTAAGATTCAAAATCGAACACAAATATTTCAAGATTGGTCTGCTTGCAAGAGCACACTAAGAAATATATTTCACATCGAATAATTACCAAAAATATAGATGAGTATATATGGGTTTAGACTACGACTCTTAACATGATTGTCATTTTATGATAAAATTCCCAAGTTTAATATAGATCAATTCTGATGTAGTGCACAAACTTCTCTGTGCCGAACTTATCTCGTAGTAAAGGTGCCAAGAGGTGAAGATTTTTCATTAACGGGTGACAATAAGATTCGACTTGTACCTTTGCTTGCACAATATCGTGTCGATCGACTCATCCAAGTGCACACAAATCAACAAGAGTGTGAAGGAAGGACTTCTATTTCTGGGGATAAAATACTGTAAACGATCAAGTCATGAATTCTCCCCTTAAGGTATGAGTACTTTCTCAACAGACCATCCTTGCTAAACCCGGTTTTCTCCAAAACCCGCTGAGAGGCCTTATTCTCTACAGCAACATGAGCCTGCAGCCTTACTATTTCAGGAAAATCTCGAAACACCTGAGGAATGGCCATCTCGACAGCTTTACTAGCAATCCCTTTGCCCCAAAATTCGACTGCTATGGCATACCCGATATCCGCTCGACACCTATCATCGCCCGATCCTGGGAAGACCGAGATGAATCCGATCGAACGGTCATCGATGCATATCGACCGTCGCCAAGGATGTGGCATGCAGACTTCTTTGATGAAAGTCAACGCCTCTTGGTTGGATGTCAAAGTCTTCCATCTGAGGGACCTGGTAACTCTATCATCGCCTGCCCAAGAGAATAAATCGTCGGCGTCTGTTGGCCTGAATCCGCGCAAGGTAATGCGCGACGGATCCATCACTGTGTCGGTCGGACGAAGAACAAGTCTAATGTGCTAGTCGCAATCGAACTCCTCTTTGCATCGCTACCATTAGTGGACGATTATAAAATGGACCACATCAATCCATTTAAATTACTACAAAACTGGTTTTGTTGATATAATAATTCGTAGCCTTTTTTAAACTTTGACGATATGTATTTATTCGTCACTACGTATGTGTTGAAAATAGTGTATCAATGCACTAATCAAATGGATTCTTTATTTGTTTTTATATTGTTAATGTTACCATTCAAAAACATCACGCTTTAGAGCATCTCCAACAGACTCTTTAAACATGAGGTGCTCTCTATTTTAAAGAGTCAACATNTTGGAGAGCCAAACTCACTCTCTATAATTAAATGCATTCAAAAAGTTTCAATTTTCAATGTAGAAAAGCAATAAAATAATCTATAGAAAAACTAGTTAAAATAAAAGATACAGAAAAATAATAAATATTTTTTGGGAATAGTAAATTTAAGTGTTAAATATAAAGAGTTTGTTGGAGTACATCAAAATTTTAACTCTTTAAATTTATAGATGCTCTCCAAATGATAGAATATGCTCTTTAAAAATAGAGAGTCTCTTGGAGATGCTCTTAGCTAATTAATTTGACGTTTAGTTAGAAGTTGATGTTGGAAAATTGACTTAATAGGGACTTTTGGTATAATTTTGAGTGGGGTTCAATCGTTCAGATTAGGGTTGATTTGTGTTCTCCTCCGTAAGAACATTGAAATCATATATTTACTTACCAAAAATGATAATTGGGTGAATGAAAAACTGAAGTTTGAAGTGATGAATCAAAAGAAGTTTTGTAGTATTGAAAGGAAATCAATATAAGTTCTCTCATTTAGGAAAATAATAAAGTACATGATTATTTTATATATGATTACACTTTAGAAGTGTGTAATTATGTGTGACATTGAGGCTCTCTTCACGTGCATGCGCGGGGTGCAAATCAAGGACCAAAATTGAGTTTTGAACCTTGAACTTATATGTAGGCACGATCTGCGTACATGAATGTTAGACCGAACGGACCAAAAATTGGCCCCTTTTGATGGTCCACGTTTTGACTTTATTTCCTATATATTTTTATTATTTTTTTCAAATAAATCCTTCCAAATTCTCTTAACTCCCGAAACTCGTATGATAATAATTGTGTTAATGGAGAGATTTAAATGGCTTTACGGTGGTGTTAAATGATGTAACACCAGTAACTTCCAACCTGTTAATTCTTCATTAGAGCATGCTTATGCAATTGGTTTTCCTTCATTGCAAATCCACGAAATTCCATATTGTTTTCATTTTCCAGTTTGCTCGAAAAAGTTCCCGTTTGCTCGAAATTTTCCAATTTCTTCTAAGCTTTGATGGTACTATTTTGACAGAACTTCAGTTGGCTGGAGTAAAAATGAAGTGTTCAATTTTTATTGATTTACTATTGTATTCTTAGACACAGACACTCGTGTGAATCCTCAATCGCCTATGATGACATGGTGAATATGTTTTAAGGACACTATATAATACAGGGGTCTCAATTTGCAAATATCTGCTCTCTGTTAACCATTTTTATTTTTTGCAATTTTATTTCCTATTTCAGGTTTTTTGAAATAACAAAATATTTTCATCGCTACATTTTCTTTTTGTTCAGTATACTCCAATGGAAATCCACGGCTATCTAATTGTCCAACTTCCAATGGAAATCCACACAGGAAAAAAAAATGAGAGAATTTTCTCATTTTCTTGTGCTAGCAAGAATAATAATAATGATTGTCTGTGCTATTTTTCTGAAACTCTAATGACTTATTAATATAAGTTCAGTAGGCTTGATCCGTTTCTTAAACTTAACCCGATCTAATATTTAATTAATCCAATTAATTAAATTTGGTACATGAGCATATTATCAAATAACTCAATTAATTTATTGTAAAACACTTGTTAATTAATTAATTGACGAATCTCATTCTTCTGGTTCTCTTTTTGTGTGAAATTCATCATGTTCCTAATAAGTGTAATTTCTGCACTTATTCGAAGCCCTAAATCATAATATTTTATTGTCTTTTGGATAAAATTCTACCTAATTTATGTTATATTGTATTTTGTAGGTAAAACTTTATGTTTAATAAAGAATTGGAGAAAATAATGCAAAATGTGGCAAAAAATGACAAAATTCAAAGATGAAACCCTAGAAAGAAATAAAACATTAAATGAGTTGAAGTTAAATGGGTCTCAATGGACTTGTATATCAAAAAATGTACATATGGGTGTACACCCCTCTCACATGGGGTGTACACCCCTATGTACATGGTGATGTACCACCAGTAAAATCAAAAAGAAAAAGGGGCACAGAGAAAATTGGCGACGCTGGAAAGGAAACAGAAGAGAAAAAAAAAAAAGAGAGGAGGAAGTCAAATTTTGGTGGTTGATTATATTATATACATTGTATATACACACTTGGAGAGGAGAGAAAAGGAAAAAGGAAGAAGAAAAGAAAAGAAAGTCAAAGAAAGACGGATGTTGCAAGCATAAAAGAAGAAAGAAAAGAAACGGAAAAAAGAGAAGAAAGAGAGAAAGCGAAGCTGTCGGCAGAAATATATATACACGTAGACACGAGAAATTTTAAGTTTCGTCAATTTTTGGTGATGTTCTACTTTTGCGTATTTTTATTTTTATAATATGGATAACTAATTTTTATATTAGGGAAAACAATGTAGTCGACTTGTGATACTTTATTTTTTTATTCAAGATTTATGTGATTTATTCTTATATGTATTGGTTTTACTATGAATTTAATGTTTTGAATTATTTGATCACTAATTTGATGATTATGTGAGTCTCTTACGAATCGAAATGTGAGTTTGAGATTTAGACCATATAGTAAAATTCATTAAATTAGTATAACATGTAGAGATACATATACTAATTATTGCAGTTATAATATGAATTCTTAAAACTAGTGTTTTGTTTAACTAAGATTGATTCACACGGAAATATATAATTTAATTAGTTAAATAGGCTCAATGAGAATTTGAGAAGGGTAAATTGAACACAATAGAAGAATTCAATCAAACACTACATTATGTTATGAATCTTGAATTAAGAATAATGTGATCAATAGATGAAATTGTTATGCCCTAATATTCATCACATATTTGAATCTTCAATTATCCGTTATTTGCAATCTTTTTTTTTATGTTCAATTAATTAAATGTAGTTAGAAAAAAAAATCACAATCATCACAATTATTTATTTGCTTTTGTCACAGACGTTTAATTTTGATCAATATAATTCACGTTTATCGAAAAAAAAAAGATTGTATGTCATGCAATGCTTCTCTATAGCACAGATGAAAGCAAGTAATGAAATCCTTGAATTCCCTCAATACAGTGCGTAGTGCCGGTTGGAAAATGGTTTTTAATACTAGTGAAATGGGTCAACTTTGAGCCCAAATTTCAGTGGGATCAGTGCCTTAATTTCAACTGGACCTAGGATATTCACGTTCTACTCCGCAAGAGAATTAACGTGATATATTTATTTATCGAAAACTATTTAGTAATGAATAAAATATTTAATGTCAAAGTAACCCATTTGAAACATGAATTTGGTTTATTAGAAAATTCTCATACACTTGTCCCACATAGAAAAGTTATGAAATTTTGATGTGGTTTATATAGTGTAAGGTTGAGAATTGGGTTTGGGCCCCAAGG